TAACCTGAACTATCTGAGAGGAAACTAACCTGAACTATCTGAGAGGAGACTAAGCTGAACTATCTGAGAGGAGAATAACCTGAACTATTTGAGAGGAAACTAACCTGAACTATCTGAGAGGAAATTAACCTGAACTATCTGAGAGGAAACTAACCTGAACTATCTGAGAGGAAACTAACCTGAACTATCTGAGAGGAGACTAAGCTGAACTATCTGAGAGGAGAATAACCTGAACTATCTGAGAGGGGAGTAACCTGAACTATCTGAGAGGAAACTAACCTGAACTATCTGAAAGGAAACTAACCTGAACTTTCTGAAAGGAAACTAACCTGAACTATCTTAGAGGAGACTAACCTGAACTATCTGAGAGGAAACAAACCTGAACTATCTGAGAGGAGAACCCGAACCCTAGTAGAACGATGAACTCTACGAAGTAAAGAATATCGAATGCAGTTTGCCGGATAAATGTTGATACATGAAGACCAGGTGTTTGAGTCTCCTAATCAACGAGGAAATCCATCGAATTTTGAATAGTGTAAAACTAAAATAACGATAATTAAGTCTAGTTTTATTTGGATTTCATGCATTTTCAGAAAAGTTTTAAAAAATTCGCAATTGAAGTTAAAGTGATTCAATACACAACATTTTTCTGTGAAAACAAATTTTGTTAATTGATTAAAATATTCAATGAGTTGATGAATTCCTTGCAGTGGTCTGGTCCTAAACCATCAGCATCAGATACAAAGGCTTTCCCAGTACTAGGCATCTCATCCATTCTGGATGCAAATACTTTCCAATATTTTCCAATATTTTCCAATACTTTCCAATACTTTCCAATACTTTCCAATACTTTGCAATACTTTCCAATACTTTTCAATACTTTCCAATATTTTCCAATACTTTCCAATACTTTCCAATACTTTCCAATACTTTCCAATACTTTCCAAAACTTTCCAATACTCTCCAATACCAACCAATACCAACCAATACTTTTTGATACTTTTAATACTTTCCAATACTTTCCAGTACTTTTAAACACCAATCAATACTTTCTGATCTATTTAATACTTGCCAATACATTCCAATACTTTCCAATACTTTCCAATACTAACCAATACTTTCCTATACTTTTTAATACTTTTCAATACTTTAAAAATGTTCAATACTTTGCAATTTTTTCCAATCCTTTCCAATCCTTTCCAATCCTTTCCAATTCTTTTCAATACTTTCCAATCCTTTCCAATCGTTTTCAAATATTTTCAAATTTTTTTCAATACTTTCCAATATTTTCCAATACGTTCAAATACTTTCAAAAATTGGATTGATAAAAAGTATCCCTGAGATAGTTATGAAAGTATATTGTGGCAAATCCATTCATCATCACGTTGTGGAAAAACTTCAAATACTTTCCCTCCTAGAATAATAATTCTAATAGTAATGAAAAAAAATAATTTCTCATGAAAATATTAATAATAATATTGCAAATAATCAAAATGACGATGAAAATAATATGCATAATTAACAACAATATATCTAACAATAAAGATGATTAGAATAGAAATGACAATAGTATACTAAAATTAAGAACGATGAAAACGTCAAAAATAAAAATAATACAAATAATAATGAAAATAATGACAATGATGATGGACATGATTTTGATTATTATGACAATAAAAATAATAATTAAGATGATGCTTAACATTATAGTAGTGAAAATAATGATAATAATGATGATAATGATAGTAATGATAAAAATGATGATAATGATAATAATGATAATAAGGATAATAATGATAGTAATGATAATAATGATAATAATGATAATAATGATAATAATGATAATAATGATAATAATGATAGTAATGATAATAATGATAATAATGATTATAATGATAATAATAATAACGATAGGAATTATATTACCTTGAGATAAAACAGATCCTCCGAGAACATTGTGTGCAGAATACTAAAAATTTCGCATTTTTAATCTAAAAACATTCATAAAACACGTCTGCAATAATAAGCATAGTGTCATGACATTGAGAACCAGAAAACAGTGGAATATCGTCGTATATTTGTTTCTTGATTATGAAATGTAGATTTTTTTTATTTGCAACTGACCAATTTATAAAGCTCTGAACATTTTTATCTGTGACAATTGCAAATTACAAAACCCTTAGCGACATATCTCAAGTGAAAGGAGTAACCCAGACGACAATCATTCCCTAGTTTAAGCTGAAGATCGAAACATGAAAGACGTTAGATGGCTAGTCTAGTCTAATACCTGGAGACTAGCATATGGAGTAGAACAAAGACGACTAAAGGATAGAGGTTTCCAGTACCACAGTATAGTTTAATACCTGGAGACTCGGCTATGGAGTAGAACGAAGACGACTAAAGGATAGAGGTTTCCAGGACCACAGTATAGTTTAATACCTGAAGACTAGCATATGGAGTAGAACAAAGACGACTAGAGGATAGAGTTTCCAGGACCACAGTATAGTTTAATACCTGGAGACTAGCATATGGTGTAGAACAAAGACAACTAGAGAATAGAGGTGTCCAGGACCACAGTATAGTTTAATACCTGGAGACTAGCATATGGAGTAGAACAAAGACGACTAGAGGATAGAGTTTCCAGGACCACAGTATAGTTTAATACCTGGAGACAAGTCTATCGAGTAGAAAGAGACGACTAGAGGATAGAGGTTTCCAGTACCACAGTATAGTTTAATACCTGGAGACTAGCATATGGAGTAGAACAAAGACGACTATAGGATAGAGGTTTCCAGTACCACAGTATAGTTTAATACCTGGAGACTAGCATATGGAGTAGAACGAAGACGACTAAAGGATAGAGGTTTCCAGGACCACAGTATAGTTTAATACCTGGAGACTAACATATGAAGTAGAACGAAGACGACTAACGGATACAGGTTTCCAGGACCCCAGTACAGCGCAAACAATTGGAAAGCTAACAGACGGGCAGATATCTGAGATCAGCATAAAACTTAACAATTTAAAGTTGAAGAGTTTGAAAAGTATTCATGATGAAGAATTTAAAGAGTTAGGTAATCTGGCAAACAGAATAATATCTAAAACGTTGAATGGTTTAAGTAAGATCTCCCTTAAAGGGAATTGTCTAAAGAATTTCTTTCAAAATTTATATAAAATTTTAATTTATGATTGAAAAGTTAGATTCCTGCATGAACATGTAGAAAAACATCGTAACCCTGCTGCAAGGAGACACCGTTATATCCAGTAACATATTCTTCCTAAATATATAATACGTTATTCTGTTTACTATAATCTGTGTCATGTCTCCTCTAATCCTGTATTCTGTGTATTTTGTTCTGTATCTTATATCCTGTATCCAGTATATCCTGTATTCTGTATTGAGTATCCTGTATACATATATTCTTTATCCTTTATCCTGTATCCTGTTTTCTGTATCCTGCATCCTGTATTCTGTGTTCTGTATCCTGTAACCTGTGTTCTTTATCCTGTGTTCTGTATCCCATGTTCTGTATCCTGTGTTCTGTATTCTGTGTTCTGTATCCTGTGTTCTGTATCCTGTGTTCTGAATTCTGTGTTCTGTATCCTGTGTTCCGTATCCTGTGTTCTGTATTCTGTGTTCTGTATCCTGTGTTCTGTATTCTGTGTTCTGTATCCTGTGTTCTGTATTCTGTGTTCTGTATTCTGTGTTCTGTATTCTGTGTTCTGTATCCTGTATCCACCTGACTGAATGATACTCTGAGTAGCACCAGGCGAGGCTGACCATCGAGGTTCCAATGGATAGAAGCTGGGCAGCCTCTACTGTTGTAAACTGGAGGCTGATGGATACCTTCCCATCCTGCAGAACCATGAGTATATATACAAAACTATTCTTTATTTCTTAAACGTTTTTAAATTCTAATTTATAGGATAATTTCAATGGTATGTCCGATACATAACAGTACCCTTTTAATCTTGGTCTTATCAAGGAGAACATTGATATCCTGATTCTTTTTTTTTTCAGAAAATTGAGTGCCCAGAAAACCCAACTGTACACTGTATCCTCGAGTTTCCCTGAAATCAATTTTTAGCTGTTATAAAAAGGATATCTATGTCTGTGTTGGTGAGATAAAGGTTAAAAGGGACCAATTTGAATCAAACATGCCAATTTATAAATGGAGGGTAACTTGAAAATACACCTATATTACCTGTCTCAATTTGTCTAGTGTAATCTACTTCAAACTAATGATTTAAATTTCGAACCTGATAATCAAACATCTTTCCCAGTTTGCCCGCGATATCGATGATGTTTGGAAAGATAATATATCCCTGAAAGAAAAATATCCAATTTTCATAATTGAGATCTTTACAAAAAGTTTTTCAAAAAATATTAAGAATCTGATTTTACAATGAACATTTTTGGTAAAAAATGAGATCTTATGTTGTTCCAAAAAAAATTGGATCAACGAATTATACTGTGAAATAAAAAAATGAAAAATTGTATTATAATTTCTACTTAAAAAATAGTCCAATGCATAGAACGTTCATGCCATTAATGATTAATCCCGAAATTGAGAAAAATAATTTGAAAATTGTAAACTTGGAAATTTTCCTGGATAATTGGTTCAAAAGCTGATTCCACGTTGACTTCTATTAGTTCACCTCGAGACGCAGTTAAATCACTTCGACGCTTCCTAAATAACAGATTGGATAGTTAGCTTGTTAGTTAGATAGTTAGTTAGTTAGTTAGGTAGTTAGCTAGTTAGATAGCTAGTTAGTTAGATGGTTAGTAAGTTCTATATTTAGTTAGTTAGATAGAATGTTAGTTATATGGTTAGTTATTTATGTAGTTCGCTAGTTATAAAGCTAATTAGTTAGATAGCTAGTTGGTTAGATGGTTAGTTAGTTAGATAGTTAGTTAGTTAGATAGCTCGTTAGTTAGATAGTTAGTTAATTAGATAGTTAGACAGTTAGCGAGTTAGTTAGCTAGTTAGTTAGTTAACTAGTTAGATAGCTAGTTAGTTAGTTAGCTAGTTAGATAGCTAGTTATATTGATGGTTAATTAGTTAGATAGCTAGTTAGATACTTGGCCAGTTAGAAAGTTAGTTAGTTAGATGGTTAGATAGTTAGATAGCTAGTTAGATAGTTAGTTAGCTAATTAGATAGGAAGCTATGTACTTAGATAGCTATTTAGTTAGATGGTTATTTAGTTAGATAGTTATTTAGTTTAAAATCATATATTTAGCTAGAAAGCGTTTTAGTAGGTTAGTTAGTTATTCATGCTTTTGATTCGTTGGCTAGTTAGTTGGTTAAGGATAATTAATCAGTTAATTAGATAGATAGCTTTATTTAGATAATTAGTTATTTTTTTTTAATTAGTTATTTATTTTAATTATTAGTAGGTTATTTATTTATTTAGAAAATTAGTTAGTTATCTAGATAATTAGTTATTAGTTTTTAGGATATTCAGTTATTTATTTTAAGTATTATTTAGTTATTTGGATAATTATCTATTTATTTAGAAAATTAGTTAGTTACCTAGATAACTAGTAATTAGTTTTTAGGATATTCAGTTATTTCTTTTAATTATTATTTAGTTATTTGGATAATTATCTATTTATTTAGAAAATTAGTTAGTTATCTAGATAACTAGTAATTAGTTTTTAGGATATTCAGTTATTTCTTTTAATTATTATTTAGTTATTTGGATAATTATGTTAAAGTTATTTACATGACCCAAGAGAAGGATTTTAGATGCTCAAAATTACAAAAATTTATTTCCAACATTTTTGATTATTGTAAAATTTTGAAAATGCGCGAAAAAATATTTTAGAATCTGCGATTTATTTGTTATTGTTTTATATTGTGCTCACAGATAGAGCCAAAATTAAAAGTTGAAATAGAAGATGGGCACGAAGCGCCCTAAAAGCATATATTGATAGATAGATAGATAGATATATAGATAGATGAATAGGTAAGTTTATTATTCTACCTGATTCTAGCATCTACTCTTCTGTTTCCTATCGATGTCTCGTATATCCCGTCCCTGCTCAGTTCAGCAAAAATTAAATCTCAAATTGTAATTTCAATTCAATACAACTTTTTTGTCTATGAAGATTCCAATTTATAAGTTATAAACCGAATTGCTATTCATGTAAAACTAATTACATAATGCTATAATATGGTTTGATATTTGTTGTGTACATGTCAGAAAATTACTTTAAACTCTAGTTATTCTAATAAATGTATAAACTCTTTTGCATAAGATAAAATCGCACCCTGATCTCTAATAGTTCTCCTTAAATCTATTTAATTGAAATGTTTTGTTATCATTATTAAAATCAGTTAGGAAAAATAGTCATAACAGCCAAGAGCTATTTTCCACCTAATTGCTTTATACTTGTACTGTTAATATAATTGTAAACTCGTTCTGTAACACAGATACATGTATTTTAGCAATAAACTTTATCTTATCTTATCTTATCTTATCTATCTAATTTCAAAAATATTTGTCGCTTTCCTGTAGAACTTGAAGAGTGCTGTTATTGGTTGCCAGAAAACAACAACAACAAAGGTGACACTCAGTACACCGAAAAACTAAATATTAAAATTGAATAATCTTTAGATCAATCCTGCTGATTAAATCACTCGCAAAAAATTTGAAAAAATATAACAAAAGAAAAAAGATTATTCAAATTTTCCTTGAATACGGCGGCAAAAAATTGGAACGGCGATTTAAGTTTTTGATGGATCTCCTGAAAGGTATCTTTTTTTTTAAATATGTAGACTTCAAACCTAAATTGATTTTAATTTTCGTTGAAATAATTTTTTTTTAAATCTGATGATTTTATACCGATCTTAATTGTAAATTTTCTGATTAAAAGTTGTAATATCCTGCAATTTTGTAACGTAAAATAAACTTTGTATTCTGTAGGTCTGAAGGTCTGTTTAGAAGTATTGAATTCCGAATAAGTTTAGCCAATATTACCCAGAGGTAGGTAGGGGTGTGTCTAATGAATTAATGGAACGGTTTCCACTTTCAAGATTTATAAAGTTTTAAAAGATTTAAGCTTGAGGATTATATAGACTCTGGAGGATTAATTATCAACAAAACCTTAGAGGTTCTGTCAACTACAGAAAACTATAAAACCATTCAGAACAGATTACGTTGAACCATTAACTTAAAAAGGAAGAAATCAAGTCAGGCAAATTTATTGAACTTAAATAGAGGGTCGTTGAAAAATATTTTTTTCCAAAATTTATAAAAAAGGTTTCCTTGAGTGATGAAACCAGTTTTCTGCGTAGAGTCGTAACTTCATACTTCTCAGTTAAGGTTAGAAACTCTACATTAAAGATAGATATTCTAAGTTTTAGATTTGAACAATTTCCATTGAATATATAAAAAGAAACAGATGTCTTGACTACTCCGACAAGCAATTAACTGTTTGCAAAGTAAACTTTTAAAAAATAATTATGAAAAAGTTAAAGTTTTCTATAATTAGAAAATTTAAGTAAACTCTAGAAACGTTCTAATTCTTAGCCAAACAAAACAAAAATTAAATTCTAAACTGCGAACAAGATTGCTAGGAACGAAATTACACTAAAAAAGAAAGCTAGCTTATATTTCCTGAATATTTGTAAACAATTAATTCTAGCAAATACATTATCTAAACTTATGTTTCCAGCAATTATCTGCATAGATCCTAAAATTATCTATCTTATTTATCCCTGTTAGGTAGAAGAGTATAGGCAGGAGTAGGAAGGTTAGAGTATACCCTAGACGAGCCTCAGAACTAAACAATATAAAAAACATCTTAAAATATGAAGAAACATGTTCTACTGAACCAGTGTAACCACAATGTAATGAATGTCGTCTTTGTATTTTCTTTTACTTAGAAATAATCGATTTGTCGAAAGTTGAAAACCAGCAAAATATTTTATTAGGCCAAGCTTTAACACAGACCTGAAGCAGGACTCGAAGCAGTGAATTGTGTCCTGACTTGTGTTGAAGTTTGTCGAGTTAAAGTCTTTTTTACACTCTTCACACTTTTCCTAGATAGATTGATAGATAGATAGATAGATAGATATATAGATAGATAGATAGATAGAAAGATGGATATATAGATAGATAGATAGATAGATAGATAGATAGATAGATAGATAAATAGATAGATAGATAGATAGATAGATAGATAGATAGATAGATAGATAGATAGATAGATAGATAGATAAATAGATTTCTGCCGAGTGTTTAACAACTTTTGAAATCCCACGGGCAAAGCCGATTGAACTTTAGTTTTCACTTTCATGCATATAATCAGATATACAGGGTATTATTCTAATCTTGTCAATTTTGATTCTTCTCTAATACAGGGAAAAAAGGCATTTATATTTTTGTTTAAAAAAAGAATTAGATGACTATTTCAAAAGATATTAAAATTGTTCCCACCCTTATTCTCCAAACAAAGAGTCGCTCTTTTCGTGAAGTTTTTAGCGGCCAGACATCGGTTCAACTTCCAAATAATGCTCCGATATTTTAGAAATGTTGATACAACCTAGGCCTATAAATTGAGAGGATTCCCTGACAACTACAGTCAGATCAGCCGAAAAATGAAGCTGTAACTTGCTCATACTTGCTCATATTGTATACACTTAAACCCAATGACCAAGAGAGCACTGTGTGTTAAGCCCGTTTTTTTAACACTGTGCCCTCAATTAGCTGATATTTCCAGTGTACTCGTTTCATAGGCAAGGCTAGGCTGTGGTAAAAAAATCTAAATTTTTCTAAATTTTCTAAGGTTTAAAGTGAGAAAATATGAGAATTGAATTCTGTACTAAGTTGGCCAAAAGATGCGTTGTTTATTGAGTTTTTTTTTGCGAATTCTTAAAAATTCAGTTACCTCCCATAATAAGCATTCCATATCTACTTTCAAAACGGTAATATCACAAAAAAATGAAAAAGATTATTAAAGTTTCAAAATTGACAAGATTAGAAAACCTGCAGGAACAGTGACCGAGGTTTATAGAGGTCCCTCAACTAACTAAAGCCGGTTAAAATCCTGAATCAGTGATTCAGAGTTAAAGATTTATGAGTATTTAAGTAACTGATTGGAGGGTGAATCGATGATTCAGGATTTGAACCGGAGGGGGTAGTTTAACTCATGAAGTCCGGTCCCGGAAATAATTAATAAAAACATTTATGATAAATTAAATCAGGAACGGAATTTAATGTATTGGCGAGAGCTCGCTTAACAACCTAGCGCAGGTTCAAATCCTAAATATCCTATTCAAAGTTAAAGATTCATAAGGGGTTGAATCAGTGATTCAGGATTCGAACCGGCGCCGGTAGGTAATTCAGGAACCTCTCCAATTAATTATATTCGGTCTCAGAGACTTAAAATTAATTTTTGAGATTAAAATTAGAAAACTACTTACATAAGACATCTGAACATATGAGTCATTATTATACTGATGATAGTATTCAACAGTTAGCAGGGAATCAAAAAATATATCACCAAAAGTTAAACCTAAAAATTATTAATCTATTAATTAAATTTGAGAAAAGATTTCTTAAAAAAAACTTAAATTCTCTGAAAGGATCTTATTTGACAGATATTTTTTAAAACTGAAATATTAGAGAAAATATTTCCAAAATGTATTTTACCTATAGTAGGTGTGAGCCAGGTACAAAACAGGGTTGCCCAAATTTTAAATTTTTTCGAAAATGAATTCGAGTTTTCCAGATCGTTTAGTTCATTAATTATATGGAAGGCGGACAGAGAGCTTTCTAACTGTCTGGATACAATAGAGATTTAACTTAATCCAGATTTATGCAGAGAAATTGACTTTTTGACTTAAAATCAGATTTTTAATTCTATATCTTTGAAACCCGGATGTCATGAATTCTGCTAGATTAAAAAGTCTAAATTTCAAATATCAAAGATGTACACTATCAGGTTGCAAGGATAGAAGGATTAGAAAGTTTGAGTTTGTGGCAAAAACTCTGTTCATTTAGTAAAACCAAATCATCACTTTTCCCAGAAGGGGTTGTATATAAAATTAATCATGTATTCATATTGTAATCAAAAATTATAGTTCTATTAATATGTTTATTAAATAAATCTATCGCTTCTCCGAAGCCAAATAATTTTCCATCAAATTGGAAGATGTTTTTCAAATAAGTTGTTTGTAAATGTTTCAGAGTAGTTTTCAGGCGAATCTGTTAAAAAAAAAAATATTTCTATATTAATTAATTACAAGTTACCTTTACTAAATCAGAAAATACTTAAGTCTTTGCCACAAACTCTGATTTTCTAATACTTATATCTTTGCAACCCAAAGTTGTAGACATTAGATATTTCAAACTATGAAATCTGTTAGATCATTTGGTTTAAGTTAGAAATATCAAAAGTTTTAAATGTCAGGTTGCAAAGATATAGGATATAGAAAATTAGGATGTGTGGCAAAGACTCAATTCCCTTGTTAGAAATAACTTGTATTAGTTAATGTTCTTTTATATTTCAAACTTTGAATATGGCTTTATCAAATTTTCAAAAGGTTATCAGGTTGCAAAGCTATAGAGAAAACAAAATTTTTTCCACATTTTTTCCTCGACAATATCCTAAAAGTATATTTCTTGATAATATTTTTATTTAAAATCTCATGTTTCCTGGAAAGACACTGTTCTGTTTTAAGAATATCTCGCCTCAACAAAACAAAATATAACATTTATGAAGGGACTGATTGCAAAATTTAGAGTGACTCACTTTTGAAGAAAATATTTTCTTTGATTAAAACTCATTTAAACAGTAGCTTGATAATTCGTTATAAAAGCCAACACACTCTACTTAAAGTTTTGAACCAAGCTAAACACATTTTTACGGTGTTACCCATTTCAAATAAATAAATTCAAATAAACAGACAGACAGCTACAAACAGAGATTACTACTTTATATATATTCTAGCTTTGGAACCCAGCATTGTCCATGGAAACTTAACTTTCTTTTAAAAAGTAAACTCACTCAGCTTGGAACTTTAAACCCAATATAAGAACATTCCCGTGGTTCATCCACGTTTCCCTATTAAAAATTGAGGCAAATCGGTCAAGGGGTTTATGAGTTATGATGAAAGAGAACTGCGAGTTCATGTTTATGATAGAAGAGAACTGATGACTCACCACGAAATCTAATTTCTTAAAATCTTTAAAACCAGAGTTGGTGTAAACCTTGGTCTAGCAGGCCTGGGGTTCCTTGTTCCTTAGTTCCTTAGTTCCTAAGTTTCTTAGTTTCTTAGTTCCTTAGTTCCTTAGCTCCTTAGTTCCTTAGTTCCTTAGTTCCTTAGTTCCTTAGTTCCTTAGTTCCCTAGTTCCTTACGTCCCTAGTTCCTTAGTTCCTTAGTAAAAAAGGTTACAAAATATTTAAGGGATAGAAAATTAGAATTGGTTATGAAGCATCAGCTCCATTTTCCCAGAAACTCAAATTATATTTTTTATTCCTGTGGCAGCCATATTCTTTTTTCAGCACAATTGGTAAACTCTCCGCTAGATATACTCTGAAATAAGAATTGGTAAACTCTCCGCTATATATACTCTGGAATAAGAATTGGTAAACTCTCCGCTAGATATACTCTGAAATAAGAATTGGTAAACTCTCCGCTAGATATACTCTGAAATAAGAATTCGTAAACTCTCCGCTATATATACTCTGAAATAAGAATTTTTAGATTTAAGTAATTTAGACTATTTGCCTTATTTGAACAAACACACACTTCATACTTAAAGAATATGAACGTTTTAGTGACAAAATCTAATACATTTTTTACAAGCAAATTAAATTGAATTTAAATTAAGAATGCATTCTAGATCATACCTATCAAAATAATCCAATCTTAAATAAGAAATATTTTCTTTAAGAAATGGAAAATGTTGAAGACATCAAACAGCTGACAAAAATTAGATTATATACTGAACTTTGTGTTTAAAGAAAAGAGGAAAAAAGATAAAAGAGTATATAATATCGTTTTTGAAGAAAGGGAAGAAATTATAAAGATTGAGATAAGAATAACATGTTTTTACTCTGATCTAAACACCTACAAACTAAATAAACTGATAGTAAGACCCAAATAATCAACATGCATTGCACTATCAAAATACTTTTTAAAATTTCACTTCTTGTAAAAAATACCTGTTAACTTCTATGATGGCGAGGAGGGTTTGACCTTCAATATTTCTATGCTGGAGAACCCCGTGGGTCACGTGACTAAAAGTTAAAAAAATGTAAAAATAAAGACAGTTTATTTCTGATATTTTTTAAAAAATTCAGTGTATGTTTACATACATGAATACATTACACGTTATACTGCATGAAGAAAGGTGGTTAACTTTCTAATAAAAGGAAGTGTCGTCTTCCTAAACTGTAGTTTATTGGTTCCTCTGTATTCTATGAGTAATTAAGATCTACTTACCCATAAGTGACTCTATTAACCAGGAGCTCTCTCAGAGCATCATCATTAGCATGTTTAGCCAGCTCCATCAGTAGGTTAGACTTAGTCTCACTGTTCCTGTAGCTGAATATATGATGCTCCTCTCTAAACATAAATATATATCTGAATATATGATGCTCCTCTCTAAACATAAATATATATCTGAATATATGATGCTCCTCTCTAAACATAAATATATATTCGAATATATGATGCTCCTCTCTAAACATAAATATATATCTGAATATATGATGCTCCTCTCTAAACATAAATATATATCTGAATATATGATGCTCCTCTCCAAACATAAATATATATCTGAATATATGATGCTCCTCTCTAAACATATATATCTCTGAATATCTGATGAGGAGCTCTAAACATAAATATATATCTGAATAAAATGCTTCTCTTATAATATTTCTTCATTTTACCAGGGTGAAAATGGTTGAATTCTATCAATTTTCCTAATGGGTTCTGTTGCTGTAAACCGCAATAAACAATTTTACAGAGACGCCAATAAATAATTTTTAAAGTTGAAACGTGAATATTACATCCATCCTTATAATTCAAAGCTTTAAGATAATCGGACATGCCACAATATAAATGGAAGGTCACTTGAAGATACTTCTACAGTCCTTTAAGGGCTAAGATATTTTTCATGCAATAATAGTATTTTCTTTTCATACTTGAAAATAAAAACAAATAAAATCAAAAGTTGATTTAGATTTTTGATGTTATCTTTCTCTAAAAGGTCCCCATTTGTTCGTCTTTATTGTTTTCTGCTTTGATTAAAATAAAAAGAACAACAAAAAAATTTTAAAAAAATGTTCTTCTTATTTCACTTTAAAGTTTAAACAATTAGCAGGAGTCCATAAAACAAGAAATCACTAAAATTATGAAAATGTGAAAAAAACCGAAAAACCAAAACGAAAAGATGAAAATATGTTGGAACTCTGGAAACTATATTTGGAACGGCGAAGGTCAGATTTTTCTAATGCAATAGCGCTAATCTACAAATGCAACACCTAAAATATCCATTGCGGAAACTTTAGATTTAAAGTTAGTGGTCTCTTATTGGTCGAGAGAAATTCGAACTGGTAGGATCTTTAAAGATATCTAAACCAAATAGATTTAATCCGTCGGACTACTGAAGAACAGGATCAGTACTTTCTGACAAAAGATTAATAAAACAAAAGATTAACAAAACAAAAGAATAACAAAACAAAAGATTAACAAAACAAAAGATCAACAAAACAAAAGATTAATAAAACAAAAGATTAACAAAACAAAAGATTAACAAAACAAAAGATTAACAAAACAAAAGATTAACAAAACAAATGTTCCCATCTCAGAATTTTAAAAATATAAGATTTGAGAATAGAGTTAGAAACATAAAGCAGATTAGATAGGACTGAATTAAACTAAGTTTCATAAAGAACAAAGCAGGAAGATATTTGAATTGAATTAAATTCTTTAAATATTTTAGAGTTTTGTGTATAAGCTTGATATTAAATCAACCAAGCATTTAACAAAAAGAACGCAGCATCTATTTTCTACACCCTGTAATACATCACATTGTTACTGACTCTGATCTCTCCCTGCAACCTGCCACCTCTTCTACATATATAATATGAACCGATTAAAACAACCTACCCTGGTAAGGTGGCTCCAAGACATGGGAAGTTATAATCTCTTTATGCTTGTAGTTAAACAAAAATATAAATGCAATGTATGTAATTAGTTGATTATACTCTTCTACATTTTAATCAATTTCAATTTTATCGCATATTACTGTGTATTCAATCTATATTCGCTTATTGCACGCTTTTCTATATAATGAACCTCTTCGCTCTTGTATATAGATATGTATGTATATGCATTAATATATATATGTTGGACCGAATGAGCTGAATTTTTTGAGGGAACCCATGGGTGCCCGGGGAGTGACATAGGCTAAACAAATTTCGACATTTTTTTTCTTCAAAATTCCCTCTGATGCTCCCCCTAGAAAATGTATAAACGTTGAATGCAATGCAAAAGTCTGGAGGAGAAAATGAAGCTCTCCTTTATCTATGATAGGGCGGCAACTGTTTACAATGAAATAAACGTTTATAACGTATTAAATTGCTTTGATTTAATTAAAGTATTTTTTAATGATTTCAACAGGGGTTGATAAATACATTCAACCTTTACCTGAAGAACTGTTGATTTACTGTAGAAAGTTCTCGAATAATATCACTGATTGATTTAGAGTTTACAGCTCCAGGATTCTGCTCCAGTATTTGACAGATTATCTGAGCAAATCAATTCATAAATTCATAAATTCATCAATTCATCAATTCATCAATTCATCAATTCATCAATTTAACAATTCATCAATTCATCAATTTAACAATTCATCAATTCATCAATTCATCAATTCATCAATTCATCAATTCATCAAATCATCAATTCATCAATGCATCCATGCATCAATTCATCAATTCATCAATTCACCTATTCATCAATTCATCAATTAATCAATTCATCAATTCATCAATGCATTGATGGATCAATGCATCAATTCATCAATTCATTAATTCATTAATTCATAAATTCATAAATTCATCAATTCATCAATTCATCAATTCATCAATTCATCAATTCATCAATTCATCAATTCATCAATTCATCAATTCATCAATTCATCAATTCATCAATTCATTAATTCATCAATTCATTGATTCATCAATTTATAAATTCATCAATTCATCAATTTATCAATTTATCAATTCATCAATTCACCTATTCATCAATTCATTAATTCATCAATTCTTTAATTCATTAATTCATTAATTCATCAATTCATCAATTCATCAATTCATCAATTCATCAATTTATCAATTTATGAAACTGATTCCTTGTAAATTCCTTCTGATTGTGCGTTGAATCGTTCATAATAATCTATGAATAAACCATCAAAACCATAAAATCTATAATCTATATCTTTGTCACGTATTCTTACATTCATATCATATCATTTATATCATAACTTCGTTGTTACAAAAATGTATTCGTTTTTTGGATTTAGTAAAGTGTATCTAAACTAGTGAAACTGAAGGTTTTTATATACGGCTTTAGATCATTTTAAAGTTTTATGTAGAAATAAATTCTAACTCATGTAAAAGTTATTTAATGTTCAAGTTTTTTGATACACAAGGTATATTGTTTATTAATCCGAGTTCCCATATTTTAATTCTATATTTTTAATTGAATATGTTTTCATGAAAAACATATTCAGTTGTGAATAACAGGTGCTGTAATCTATAAAAAACATCTGGAGGATTATTGTTTTTCTTCATAAAATCTAAATAATACAACAAGACATTCGTATATATGTTCCTTATAGCTGGCCAAATGGCAGGACTGAATGGGCTTTAATTTGTTGAGGGAACCCATGGGTACCCGGGGGGGGGGGGGGTAACATAAAAATCTAAAATTTGAATTTTTAAAAAAATCTAGATTTTTTCCAAAAATTTTAATTTTATTTTTTTTGTTCTATTCAGCTAGTAGTACATAAAAAGAAATCCTAAAGAAAAGGTACAGAGGTACACTTCAAACCTTTGAATGCGTAATAATGCGGGACTTATTCTTGTTTCTCTTGAAAAGAGATAACTCCTGTCAATATTATTCCGTGTCGCTTCTTCATAAATCCGCAAGTAATTGTAAAAACTTCAAGGACCTTCCATTTACAGAGGAACATTCTATGATTCCAGATATAAAATGGCACCTTTTAAAAGCATAGGGGTACGGTTGTGAATTGGAAATGCCACTCTTTATTTAAAAAGTAACTTGAAATAAAGTCCCTTTATGAAGGTATAAAGTTTAGGATGTATAAAGTAATCTTTTCTTGATTAATATGATTATATATTAAACAGTTGTGACTGGGTTAGACCAAAATATTTTCTCAACAGAAATTAAATAATTTGATTGATAGTGTTAAATTCTAGTTTTTAGACAAACATCCCTGTTTCCTCCCGACCTCCATATTATAGTTTTATAAAAGAGATTGTTAACTCAGCAACCTAAACCCTTCATCCTCAGATAACACGTTTTCAAAAGAAATCCGAGACACCAAGGACCAAGGACCAAGGACCAAGGACCAAGGACCAAGGACCAAGGACCAAGGACCAAGGACCAAGGACCAAGGACCAAGGACCAAGGACCAATTTTCTAATCTTATTCTTTCATTTTATTTTCTTCTTTTCTCAGTTTAATATAAATCCTTAATATAAAGATCGTAAAATTTAAACATTTAAGGAAGAAACGTGTGTTTTTAAATCTGTGGATTTAACGCTAAGCCGGGTTTTATCCACTTCGATATAGTTTAGACGTTGAATAATCTTTTCAATCATGTCTTAATCATCTTCTGGTGGATTTCCATATTATTTCAGAATTTCCTGGGTTCACTATTATTTTCCAGAAAGGAATTGAGTCTTTGCCACAAACTCAAATTTTCAAATGCCAATATCTAAGGTTTAAGACTTTGGGTTGCAAAGATATAGGGATTAGAAAATCAGAGATTGTGACTAAGACTCAATTCCTTTCATGATCAAATTCTAGAAATTCCAAGATTCCATGATAAAATTTCAGAAATTTTAAGATTTCATGATAAAATTCCAGAAATTTTAAGATTTTATGATTAAATTTCGGAAATTCTAAGAGTTCATGATTAAATTACAGAAATTCTAGGAGGTCATGATTAAATTATAGATTTTTTTACCACAGATCTAAATATTCCAATCCCTACATTTGTGCAATCTTTTATATATCAAATTAAGACTATTTAATCTAATGGAATTTACAGTTTGAAATATCAAAGATCTACGCCATCAGGTGGAAAAATTCTGCTCATTTTCTATCCCAAAATTTTACTCCATGAAGGTTTTCACCTTGATCTTGATATTTAACAAAATAAGTTCAGTAGAATCCCCGGGTGAACTTGAAGCAAATTTCCCCCTCTATTTGATAAATTGTAAGAGAACCTGAGCTTGTTTAATGGTTGAACACTATTCAGTGGAGAAAGCAACAAACACAGCAGACACAAACAAGAAAAAAACAAGAAAAAACAAGAATAATAAAAATAGTATGATCAAACATTTAAATCTTGTATAAAACGCAGAAATGAATAGTAATTGAACTAAATTTAATTGAACTACACCAACGCCATAAACGCTGGAGTTATTTTATTAAAAGTTGAAAATCTACAATTTTTACGTTTAAAACATCTTTGGATGGTTATTATTGGTTATTGGTTAGACCAATAGAATAAACTACAACATACCTTGAACACATTACAGGGGACGGAATATTGTGGAAAAGACGTATGTTAAAGTTAAAAAATTTATTTTGATGGTTTCCTATAAATATCTGAAAGAAGATCTGCCTGGTTTCCAGGAACACCTCGTGGTTCTTCATCAGAAGGGTGAACACGGTGTCCTTGTGCCTGTTCTGGTTTAGTATCGTCACCTCCTAAAAAAACAAATACCGATTTAAAAAAATGAAACGCACTGTCCGAAGGTTTTCGACCGGAAAAAGGTTCAATCTTTATTTAAAAGACCTTAGAAAGGCTCGACCTATATCTAAAAGACCGGAGAAAGGTTCGAACCATATCTGAAAGACCGGAGAAAGGCTCGACCTGTATCTAAAAGACCGGAGAAAGGTTTGGTCTATATCTAAAAGACCGGAGAAAGGTTCGAACTATATCTGAAAGACCGGAGAAAGGCTCGACCTGAATCTAAAAGACCGGAGGAAGGTTTGATCTATAACTAAAAGACCGGAGAAAGGTTTGATCTATATCTAAAAGACCGCAGAAAAGTTCGAACTTTATCTAAAAGACCGGAGAAAGGTTTGATATATATCTAAAAGACCGGAAAAAGGTTCAATCTTTATTTAAAAGACCTTAGAAAGGCTCGACCTATATCTAAAAGACCGGAGAAAGGTTTGATCTAGATCTAAAAGACCGGAGAAAGGCTTGACCTATATGTAAAAGACCGGACAAAGGTTGGATTTATATCTAAAAGACCGGAGAAAGGTTCAAACTATATCTGAAAGACCGGAGAACGGCTCGACCTATATCTAAAAGACCGGAAAAAGGTTGGATTTATATCTAAAAGACCGGAGAAAGGTTCAAACTATATCTGAAAGACCGGAGAACGACTCGACATATATCTAAAAGACCGGCGAAAGAATCCACCTATACATATAAACCGATGAAAGTTATGATTGCAATAAATTAATCATTAGAAGTAAATACATATTTGTAACCTTTATGATCTTTCTGTTATATTTACAACGCAATAATAAATCATAAGATTAAAGATAAGATAGAAAACTCAGCAATTGTACAGTTTGCTTAAAAAGCTGAACTGCTGTTTTTTAATGACACTGATGCTTAAATGTCGTCTTCCCATTCTACAGGTTCTTGGGTGGCAGTGTATCCTGATGAACCTGGTCTACCTGTAAAGATGTATCCTGATGAACCTGGTCTACCTGTAAAGATGTATCCTGATGAACCTGGTCTACCTGTAAAGATGTATCCTGATGAACCTGGTCTAGCACGAGACAAAGAAGAAAATTAAGGATTTCATTTCTGTTCTCAGACGCACTAAACATCAGAAAAAAATATAAAACATAATTTTTCCAAATTAACAATTTCTATTATTTTTCAAAAATACCTGAAGGCACTTAACATTGGCGTCTGATCAAATTTATCCTAAAAACAAAAACTTTTTTTTCTCTTTTCTTTTAAGACAAGAAATAAAAAACTATTATTCTGCAGAAACTATTACCTTAGATTTTAGAGCCAAATAAAGGGCTTTATCATTCTTGTGTTCAAGACAAAGGTCACGAAGTACGTCAAGCTTTCCCTCTCTGTACAAGCAAAAATGATTTCATATGTAGGATATTTAAAGCATGACAAAGAAAAAATATAAAAAACGAGGCTGTACGTCTTCGAACTTTTTATAACGTGGTCTATCTATATACCTTTCTTATGTCCTAAAAATTGACGAAGATTTTGATATTAAGTCAATTTTTATTTATTAGATAACTTGAGATATTTTGCAATTTTGCAATATCTCCGTAAATTTTGAAGATATAAAAATTGAAGACCACATTTCAAAAATCTCAAAATCAGGATTGTTCGATATACAATGTTTAACTGGAATAATGCAATAACATGTGTTTATGAAAAAAGCCAAATATAGATTCGTCACACAATTCCCATGTTTATTTGGACACCCTTTATAGAATAACTTTTTGTTTTGTAATTCTACCTGGCTAGGAAATGCAGTACGTTTTCCTCTGTATCTGTATTGTATGGAACATGAATACTGGAAGGGTCCTAAAAGTATGTACAGTGTAAAATCTCTATTGCAGTACTATGATGCACAGTTTATATTGCGCTCTTTAAAAAAACTATATCAATAACTTGTGGAATTAAATATTTTAAATAGTTTTTTTCCAAAATATTTACCTTTTTTTCATTTTATAAATTTTATCATAGATTAAAAAGGAGGAAAGAGAACATATGTTTATTCATCCCTACACAAATTATTTTCTATTTCTATCTTTTCTGGAAAACTTTATTGGAATTAATTAAGGAAATTGGAGAGTGATTAATATAATTAAAAGAATTACCTTTCGCCATTTAGCGAGGAAATCACTTTTAGTTACGAAAGTTCCGTCGGCCTCATCTATACCATAAGAGGGATAGGATACAAAGTTTCTAATTAAATATATCTTGGTTTTCAAAATAAGGAGTGTTTGGGTACAGAACACTTTCTAGAGATAAGAATATCCAGAGAGATCTTACAATCAAAACCAATGCATACATTACTATTCAAAACCAACATACAAAACAAAAAGTTTAAATTACAAAGAAAGATATATATAATAAAATATGATTAATATGATCTTAATTTTGATATGCATGAAAGTGTGTAAAATTCAACCAATCAGAAAACCCAAAGGCGGGAAATTTTGCTCACAATCAATTAGAGAACTCTTATTGGTCGGAACCACCCGGCAGATATATCAAAAATATTAACAAGAAAATCAGAAGTGCTTACAGGGAATATTGAGGTTAAGCGAACGGGATTGAGTGTATCCAACATAATATTGAAGTTAAACAACGGGATTAAGGGTATCCAACATAATATTGAGGTTAAACAACGGGATTGAGGGTATCCTACACAATATTGAGGTTAAACAACGGGATTGAGGGTATCCTACACAATATTGAGGTTAAACAACGGGATTGAGGGTAATATTGAGGTTAAACAACGGGATTGAGGGTATCCTACATAATATTGAGGTTAAACAACGGGATTGAGGGTATCTAACACAATATTGAGGTTAAACAACGGGATTGAGTGTATCCAACATAATATTGAGGTTAAACAACGGGATTAAGGGTATCCAACAAAATATTGAGGTTAAACAACGGGATTGAGGGTATCCTACATAATATTGAGGTTTAACAACGGGATTGGGGGTATCAAACACAATATTGAGGTTAAACAACGGAATTGAGGGTATCCTACACAATATTGAGGTTAAACAACGGGATTGAGGGTATCCTACACAATATTGAGGTTAAACAACGGGATTGAGGGTATCCTACATAATATTGATGTTAAACAACGGAGGGTATCCTACACAATATTGAGGTTAAACAACGGGATTGAGGGTATCCTACATAATATTGATGTTAAACAACGGTGTTTTGAAATTAGGCATTTGATCTATTCCCATTTTACTATATAGAATATGTACATTTCCAATTGCTACGCGCACGCACGTATGTATGCTTGGATCCTGAGTATAGCTACAGTAAGGCTTAAACCAACCATGGACGCTGATGTAAACTTACTTTGATTTCTTTCTTAATAGATGACATTCTTGTAAGTAATTATATGAAATCATTATAAAAATTGTTCTTATCAATATTATATTGTTGCTATAATACTTCAATCTATTTCAGTTAAACATCCAAACTCTCTTCAAACAAGTAACAACATCTGAATAAAGAATTAAAGAAAACACAGTTTATATAGTGAGAGTAGTTTGAAACCGGTCATTCTAAAGAAATCAATACAAACGGGATTGAGGGTATCCAACACAATGGTTTTCAGCTTAGGACATAGGAATCATCGTGAGGGAAGGATATTATACTCAGATTAATCTACCACTGGAAACTCCGGTTCATTTAAAGTACTGGGCCAACTTTTAATCAGCTAGAGTAAGCTGTGCAGTACAAACACAGACAAAATAATAGTAAAGTTTATGGGCTACAGGAGTTTCATGGTTTTGAAATTTATTTTCTCAAAAACTAATTTAAAATTCAATTTAGAAAGTGCTAATAAAATCAAATTGACCACGTTTTACTCCGAGATGAAAATAAAACTGAATAAAAGGAATTAAAAGGTGGGTAAAATGTAGGCGCACTATGAATATGAAAAAGGTAAGAATATGGTGAACAAATATATTATTGAGAAATATAAATTGAGATTTAACTTTAAAAAACACCAACCTCCATGATATTTTTATAATTTGTAAAGGAGTATCTCTGATAGGTAACTGGACATTTAGCCTTCGTTACAAACCCAAATTTTCTAATCCCTATATCTATGCAAACAGATGAAATAAACCTTTGATTTTCAAACTTCGAACATTTGATCTAACAAAATTAGTAATTAGAAATATCTTAGGACATTGGGTTGCAAAGATATAGGGTTTAAAAATAAGAGTTTGAGGCAAAGACTAAACTCCTTTGACGACATCTACCATACATTCTTAATAGATAAAAGTTTTGACTCATTTGAGCATAATTATTACGTTATGATGAAGTTTTAAGTTTTGAAAAAAGTATTTATAATTTTGACAAGATAAACATTCCTGATGCTTCGGTGTCTTTGATGGAATCCAAGCAGTTTCTCGTTTATATCCTGTGTACAGTGTACATGAATATATCATAATATACTGTGTACAGTGTACAAAAATATATACAATATAATATCCTGTACAGTGTACATAAATATATGATAATATCCTGCACAGTGTACATAAATCTGTAAAAATGTATATTGTACAATTATACAAAAATGTTATCTAATTTTCTGTCAGTATATCTGTGTTTCTGTCTGTTTATATTCATATATGTAAATAGCTGTCTGTAAATTTGTCTGTGTATATGAGTTTCTTTCTTCATATATCTGTGTTTGTATCTATATATCTGTGATTATATCTGTATAGTTATGTTGTGTCTATATCTATATATCTGTTTTATCTGTGTATATCTATATATCTGTATAGTTATGTTGTGTCTATATCTATATATCTGTTTTATCTGTGTATATCTATATCTCACCTGTTTTAGAATCCTACTAATCGAACTCTTCCTTCGATCTCCATCATACAGAGGATTGATTTCAATACCTGAATAAATCAATCAATCACGTTTTCAATCAATTAATCGATCAATCACTAAATCACTTTATCAATCAAATAATCGAAAAATTAAAACAATCACTTAATCAATTAATCAATTAATTAATCAATCAATTAACCAATAACAACCTGAATATCTTGCTGAGTTTCTGTTTTCTGTATCAGTAGATCGAGTAGTTTCTAGTGAGTCTCTGCTGGTAGATAACTCCCCTTCAATCTCACTAAATATAATGTTAAATGTTTGGCTGTCCGATCATAACTCATGAACCCTGGGACCGATTTGCCCAAAATTTTGATTGGGGAACTCTATGGACAGGGGCAGGCAGATGGCTATTATACTTGAGGCCTGGATGCTAAAAGTGCATAAATGAACCCCAAGGTATTTATTTTTGATTTTAAAAATCAACTAAAGAGAATCAGAATAAAAAATCAGGAGAGTCCCAGAAATGGGGCTGTTCCTTCTGGGACAATGTAAGAAAAATCAAGGCAAAGCTGGGTTTCTGAGCTAAATGTATATTGTACTGTTTTAGAAGGAATAAAACATTTTATAAAGAAGAAGCGTATGATATACATCTTACCCCATTGTTTATTAAACAATTACTGGATTTTCTTCTAATTTCTCGGATTTACATGTTTTAAAATCTCAAATTGGCAGTTTTATATTTGATATGAAATCTATCCTCTACCTGGCCTGTTCACTGATAACATCCTGTACTAACGATCTTTCACCTCCAACACTGTTTATCCCTCCATCAAGACCATCCTAAGAAAAATCAAACAATGATTAAACAAGAATCAAACAATGATAAAACAAGAATCAAACAATGATCAAACAAGAATCAAACAATGATGAAATAAGAATCAAACAATGATAAAGCAAGAATCAAACAATGATCAAACAAGAATCAAACAATGATAAATCAAGGATTAAACAATGATAAATCAAGGATTAAACAATGATCAAACAAGAATCAAACAATGATCAAACAAGAATCAAACAATGATCAAACAAGAATCAAACAATGATAGAACAAGAATGAAATTATGATTAAAGTCTCATCTATTCTGGAAAACCCTACCTCTGAGCTAGAAAATCCATGTTGTCTCCTCTTTCCTCGCCTGCTCCCACCTCCTATTCCTCGACCCCATACACCCTTCCTTTCCACCCCACCCCATAATCCACCCCTCTCCCCCTCCACCTCCTCTCGTGGTTTCCCTTCTCCATCTCCTTCCTGTCTCCTGGGACCAATCATCCTCCCCGTTTCATCTTGTTCTCCTGGGGTCTGCTCGGCCTCTTCTCCGAGCACTCTACTTTCATGTATTCCTCCTGATTTTTCAAATCTTTGTTTTTCTCCATCTTCACCTCTTCCTGCTTGACGTGCCTCTCCTGTTCGTCCTTGATCAGCTGCTCCTTTGGATCCTCCAACTCCTGCTCCTACTCCAGCTCCTGGTGCACCTTCTACTGGTTCAGGAACTTCTGTATGTGTATCATCACCTGTATTCTCCCGAATACGACCAAATCTATTCGAATCCGAATCCTTTCCGCTAAAAATAAAAATCTAAGTTAAAGCAAAAATTCAAAATTGGTATAATAACCCAACATTTTTTATAAACTCAGTAATCAAAACAGTATTTTTAAAATCAAAGTATTCCATTGTTAATAGTTATAAAAAACGATTTAGTATTTTCAATGCAAAATGCAGTATTTATGAAATCATTTTTTACATTTCAGGAATATAAAATTTCAATTTTAGGCAGCGCAAATTGCAACATGATTTGTTACTCTTTAATTTTAAATCAAATTTTTAATATCTTTGACCAATGAGATTGCAAGGAGAATGAGACGAACTATGTCTTATCTCCTTTTTCCTAGCTCATTGAAAATACCTGTTGGGTTGACTCATTTATTTTTGCTTTTCTGTCACCGTCCGGAAGAAACAGGAAAATTTCATTTTATTTCTAGAAAAAAAGTAAAATTCAAATGTTATGCATTATGCATTATGTAATTTCAGCAACACTGTGTCAATAAGTTGCAACACTCTGTAAATAATTTGCAAAGAAACTTTTCAAAGTTTAAACTTTTTTTCTTAGAAACGAAGAGTTACAAAGACGAAGAGTTGGAGATCGTTATTAACTGTTTTTAAACATTTAGGATTTATAGGCTTTCAGCAAACTTCAGAAAAACTTAAAGGTTTGTTATAATTACACGATCTTCACTCTGAACGAAGACTTAATCCTGAACGATTGGTATCTGGATTTGAGTGAAGCCTCCTAAAAGCTTAAAAGCTATCTAACAAACGATGTCCAACTCTTTAAAGATGCGAACGTTAGTTTTATATAATAATATCCTGATTCCTAGTATTGGCTTAAATACAGATTACGTTATCTTGCACTTTTAGAAAACCTTACTTGACATTAAAATAAAGGAACTGAGTCTTTGCCACAAACACAAATTTTCAGATCCCTATATTTTGCCAACCAGGTGGTGTTAACATTAAATATTTCAAATTTTAGATTATTTGATCACACAGAATCCACAGTTTGAAATATCTTAGGTCTATGACACCGGATTGCCAAGATATAGGGATTAAAAAAAAAGAGTTTGTGGAAAAGACTCAATTTTCACGTTATATTGATATCTTACATAATAATTATGTTCTTTAATTTCACACAATCTAACTATAAAAAAGAGAACTCTATTCTCAGCAGTACTATAAATTCCATAGTCCAAAATACTTGAATTTAATATGAATCTTGGAAAGGAAAAATGAAAAAATGTATCCGCAAACTAAAGAATTTTCTTAACTAAAATACAAATGTATTAACATGCCACTATCGTACAATAGTTTTTTGTAAAAATAATATGAACAATTTTGTATCATTGAAGTAATCTCGATACGGAGATAATAAACATCTAGATCTTAAAAAGATATCTTACATACAATTTCTCTTACTGAAGAGCTATATAGAAGAACAACAATGTAATCTTATAAATTAGCTTTTCTTTTACAAAATTAAAACTAGAGGAGCTACGAGGTCTACAAGTCGCACAAGTAATGTATCCTGAATTTTACCTTGTCCTCGTGTCTAGTGGAGTGTGAAATTACAATTGATTTAGAAAATACATATTTTACCTACAGTCGAAACTGATTGAATATAAATGTTTTTATCTCGAACACTTGTTGAATAAAATCAATTTATTTATAACTCCGAAATATGATCTGTATTCTGAACAGTGTAAACGTATCAAAATAAATAGTTTAGATGCTCAACGATGAACAGTTAGGAGAATTATCCACCAGCTATCAAGACCGAACATACTTTTAATTGTCGTCAGACCTTTGCCCTTTGTTGGACCTTACCACCCCATTTACATTTTCGTAACCCTTAGGACCAGATTTAATAAAAAGTGAAAAGTATTGAATCACTTCTCTTTGAGCCTAAACAGAGAATTGATTAATTATCAATTGCTACTATATTGGTCCCAAATTATAAATATTAGCTAACGTTGTGGGATTATTCAAGATTAATCCTGATTTTCGCGTCAGAATGTGTTTAGCTTAGTTCAGAGTGGTTGAGTTCAAGCATGCCTAAGCATATATTAAAATATGTTAGGAAGGTCATAGGATCAGCTACCCACATTAAGTAATTCAAAAATTATCTCTAATTTTGAATTGTTTTTTAGAGATTTGTTTCTTATCAAAGTAAAATAGACTCTTGACAAGGTTGAATATTTTACAAATTTCAAATGACGAATTTAATGAATTTGAGCCGCGTCTCAAATCCGCCAAAAACATTAAATCTTGACACATTGAATACAATTTTAAGTGGAACCAATCACATTTCAGCCGCGGCTTAAGTTTAATCTGCGGCTCAAATTCTTTAAATTTGGCCTCGATCAGGACCCTTAAGGTCGGTCATCGTATTTTTGAAAAGATACTTGAAGTATTATTAGATTCATAAATGAATGTCGCCCGGGATGAATTATATGAGGCGCTACTTTATTTTCATATTGCTTGGCTGGCAGTTGGCACTCCATTTCAAAATTTAAAAACTTTTAAATAGTGTTGTTACGTAGTGTAGTGTAGTGTTGTAGTGTTACAATTCGTCAACCTATCTATACAAGATCAAATATCGTATTTTAATTCTGTTGAAATATTATCTACATGCATCATGGGTCATGTCAAATTATAATCAAATTAATTAAAAAAAAACTGATTTTAAAGATGTTTAATATTAAACCAAATCTCGATCATTTACGGGGACTGTAAGCGGAATGTCAAATGACCCTCCAAGCAAAGATGGCATTGCTCGATTCACAACGGGTTGTTTGATCAATTATGAATTAGATATTGATGTTGATAATTTTAATAACTCATTGTTTCCAATTGTGATATTGTGACTTCTCTACAAAAGTGCGCATTTCTACTACAGGAACAGAAACAAACGTTTTTGAGCCAAGAAAAACGAAAATATCTTCTATGATTTTTATCAGATAAAGGTTCCAATGGTATCCTTGTGAATCAGACATTGTCATCTTTGCATAAAGATTACGCTTACAGCCCCTTTAACAGGGTTATTCAAAAAACATGTATTAAAATGATTGACGGGTTTATGAAGTTAAAAAATATCGATGTAGCCTCCCAGGCTCACGGGGCAATAATCTTTATTTTTATATTTCCTATTCTGTTGATTGTTAAATAAAAGAATATTAAAATAAAAATATTTAAAAATCATAATCTCTAAATATCTAAAATAATTAACAAAAAAGCTAATTTTTTCGGAATTATGGAATATATTGAGATATGTTTTCTAATCCTTTATTAAGCTCAGATTATACATATTATAATTTCACTACAGAAATGCCTTTAATTATGCTGAAGCAGCAAAATGAAAAAATAATTATTTAAATGCATAGATAAACAAAAGATATCTAAAATCAAATTATTTTTATAATAAAGAAATATTTGATAAAAATGAATGGTTAAAACTTTGAAACTTTTAAATATTTTGCTTTTAATCTACCTAAATTATTATTATTATTGTAGATTTTTTTCGTACACAAAGGTAAGATGGTGAATATGATAAGACAAAAACAAAAATAAAGTATAATATATAAATATAGTTTCTAGTCGGTACATGTCGGTACATAAAAAGTTTATCATGGTTGCGATCTCAATATCAACAAAATTGTTTAGAACACAAATATCATCTTTAACTTTGAGTAAATTCATGAAGAATGGGTAGTTTCTATCTTGGTCTAAAAGAATCTGATTGTATATCATATTTTAGTTCAAACGAAATTTATTAAGATTTCTCGATTTTATGTTCATCACAATCTTGTGCAATAGATTCAAGATTTTTACATAAAACAGTTCTTAAATCATGTTTACTTAGATCTGCTAAAAGTCGAATACATAGCTTATGCCAATTTGATAAACTGGTCACAAATTGTGACAAACGAGTACATAAAACTGTTTTAATATGAGGAATATTAGAAATCGACTCAATGAAATATCTATGTGTTTGTATCCATGTATCCATGTAACCTGTGTTACGCTCTTCGGCACACAACTGTCATTGTCTAATGCGTACACTATTACGATGAATACATGACGCATACATTTACTTGGCAGACATTATTTATCAATTTGAAGACGACATTCTCAGTATGCGCATCAATATTCAAACAAAGAGAGGATTTTTCTTTGTGAATTTCCGTCCTTATAAACTCAAACCTTCCTAACCAAACCTAATACTTTCAAATATTAGAAAAGATCACGATGCAAGCGTTACAATCATTTTTCCAGGCTGTTCTAGAAGTGCATCAGTTCAATCTTTATAAATATTTAAATTGTTTGACAATTTTTAAATTTCGAACACTGACTGAACTCATCAGATAAACAAACATTAAACTCAGTTATTCAAACATTTTTAAACGTACTGGGTTACAGGGTACAGTTTCTGAGAAAATAGAACAAATATACAAAACTGCAATTGTAGAATTAAAATACTGAACTTTCTTCTCAGTCCACAACAGTTAACATTGCCCTTCAGATTAATAATAAAGATAAATTTCACAAAAATGGTGTGCATAGGATCTTATGCAAACTGCAAAGCTTTGACTCAATCAAATATATTGAGTCATCATTGATATTATTTAAAAAATTGAGCGTTTGTTCTGAGTATATAAGATTTATAAAACTAGTTCGATCTTTATACTGTGAACTTAAACCTTTTTAATTTTTGTCTTATCTTGATTTTACTTGTGCACTTTGATCTGTGAATATGATTCACAAATAGTAAAAGTTTATTCACAGCACTCTGCATATGCTAGGTTAAGTAGACCGGATGCTATGACAAGGTTTGAGCAAATTGATTAAAATCAGTGTGCAGCTAGATTTTTGTACACTTGTAAAACTAAAAGTATACAAGTTTAAAAAAAGTGTTTGTAACTTTTCACTGTTCACCCTGTATACAAGGAGTGGAGTCCATATCAACTGTTCACTGATCACATTGTATACAAGGAGTGGAGTCCATATCAACTGTTCACTGTTCACCCTGTATACAAGGAGTGGAGTCCATATCAACTGTTCACTGTTCACCCTGTATACAAGGAGTGGAGTCCATATCAAGTGTTCACTGTTCACTCTGTATACAAGGAGTGGAGTCCATATCTACTGTTCACTGTTCACCTTGTATACAAGGAGTGGAGTCCATATCAACTGTTCACTGTTCACCCTGTATACAAGGAGTGGAGTCCATATTAACGTTTCACTGTTCACCCTGTATACAAGGAGTGGAGTCCATATTAACGTTTCACTGTTCACCCTGTATACAAGGAGTGGAGTTCATATCAACTGTTCACTGTTCACCCAGTATACAAGGAGGGGAGTCCATATCAACTGTTTACTGTTTAACCTGTATACAAGGAGTGGAGACCTTACAACTGTTCACTGTTCACCCTGTATACAAGGAGTGAAGTCCTTATCAACTGTTCACTGTTCACCCTGTATACAAGGAGTGGAGTCCATATCAACTGTTCACTGTTCACCCTGTATACATGAAGTGGAGTCCTTATCAACTGTTCACTGTTCACCCTGTATACAAGGAGTGAAGTCGTTACAACTGTGAACTAAACTGAACTAAACCTTCTAGTAAGATTATGCGAGTTAAAATACCACACCTACGCTACACTACACTATACACCAGACTTTTAATGCACGCTAGTTTAATACAGTGCTACCCAGAATTGTTGTCCTCGTTATTTCTTTTAATAAAGAAATATAATTTAGATTTTTGTATCTTTGCAATTGTTTTATCGGAGATATGTCTAATGTCTATATATGTAAATGTGAATGGTGCATTGAATAAAATATATCGGTTGCAATTTTACAACAAAAAAAGCGATATTTAAAATAAAAAACAGACGAGAACATTTCCCCTATTTTCTTGATTTCGACTGCAACAATGCATATGCTTTGCATTATATTAACAAGAATTTAATTTTTAATCAAAAAAATGTGATAGAATTAAATCACAGGTGCTAGGTGCATTGAC